ACCGCAATGCCGAACTGTCCAGCTTTTATCTTCCGAACATGCTACATACCCGTCGAAAATCGTACGTTTGTCGGCGGGTTTTTTCGAACATGTTCGTAAGATAAAAGTCGTGCGACCTTACAGTAGTAGAGGTCGCACGGCTTCCACACACCTTACAATAATCGTATGATCGCGGGATTTCCCGCGATCATCGTACGATTATCGCAAGGTGTGTGGGCACCTTAACTCTCATCTGGCTCAATTAAAGGCTATTCAGTCTACCAGCCACAATAAGAAACTGTGCTATGAAGAGTAGTGCTTTGATAAGCCTAAACACAATATTTACCACAAGTGAAAAATATTCATATGCAACATTCATATTTGTAAAAAAAAAAAATATATTAGAACGAAATTAAGGCAGAAACTAAATACAAATCACATTATACATTTCCCCTAAGTCTGAGCAAGAATTTTTTTTTTTAATTAGTCATAATTACCTGTTTTTTAATAAAAAATAGCAACCAAAGATTCATCCCTAAATATAATCCAGTCAATAAACAAGGACAAGCTTTTATTAAAGATAATTTTAATATTTTACAGCTCCCATTTTATTTGTAAAAACATTAGAGAAATTATCAAAAGCTTTAATCAATTTCAAGAAATTTTGAGACAAAAATATACAAAATCAGACAAAACAGCGAGAGTGATCAATTCTTAAGAAAAAAAGAACATTCAAAATATTTTTAATACTTGCAGTTATGGCATGTAGGAGTTGTGTGGCATTCCCTTAAAAAGGGCATACAAGTGGTAAGACAAATAAAGTTTTAGGTGATTTGTTCATTTGTTATAAAAGCAAAAACAAATTACAGAGCCACAAGAGTCATAATCCATTCACAAGTCAATTCACCCAAAACTCATCTTTCAATACCGGTCTCTTCACATCTACCATAACTAAAGAGTGTGTCCACATTCCCTGCTGGATTTTTTTATTGATCTTATTTGATAGAGAATGCAACTAGATGGACAAAAATCATCATGATTAGACTCCATGGTAAGTGGAAAGGGAGCCACAAACTGTGCTCATGATGGGTCTGCCACTGGAATCCACAAGAAATGCAAGAAGACTGCAAGTTAATTAACCCCCCCAGACTTCATATCTATAACAGATATGTTGGGTGAAATGTCCCATTAATAGTCTTTTTTTTTTTTTTTTACTATACTATAAGTAATGTATTCTTTATAAATTTGTTATATGATTGATTGTTTTATACTTTTACTCTTTATAACATCACCAAACATTTAAGTGGACCTTTCACCACAAATGTTACTAATCACCTTTCTGCATCACCTTAACCCTAAAGCCGTTATTGCACACAGAGCACTTTTTTCAACTCCTCTACTTCCCTCTTTGTGCAATAAGCCTTGGTCGCTTATGACAGTCAGTGGCTTTCCAAATCCTTCTGCAAAATCTAAGTAATCAGAGCCTGAAAACAGATCTCAGGCATATAATAGCAAAATCTGGCAAGGTTTTGATTGTACGTACATACAAACAATTAAAATCTCATTAAAACAATGTTTATATTTCCAAAACCTCCCTTTAAACGTTGATGTACCCTTCCTAGAAGGCTGTGGAAAGGGACTATATCACCAGCTTATAGGCTAAAGACCTGGTAGGCAGGGATCTGATAGGTGTAAGCACTTTATTTAAATAAATGCCTTGGTTTTGCCTTTCCATTAATAGTGGGGTGAAAGATCAGCTTTAAGGCTGGTGGTTTACAATTTTTTTTTTTAAAAGGAAGCAGTTAGCTTAACAAAAAGGTTGGGTCTGGGCTATCAGACAGAGCAAATCTGAAACAAAAAAGGTATAGTCAAGAAAGAAAATAAAACAAAGTCCACATTATTGGGAAGCAAATATAGCATGTCAAATTAATTTAATCAAAATCAGAAAAAAAAAACATGCGGGTACTGATAAAAAGCTCAATTAATGAAACTACATGAAAAAAGTCAAGTAGATAAGTTTTTTTAGCGCAATATATGGAGAATACTTTTTTTTTTTCAAATATGGTATAAGCATATGGCAGTCCATATAAGTGACCTTATGAATTAAGTGATGATCAAAAGAGATTTTCAGCTAAATTGGTCTTATGTAAAAAGAAAATACCTTTATTTGGAATTACTTAACTAAAATGATTGTGTCAACTTTTTATGCAAATACAATAGCTGTATGCGAACTAGGTCTAGCCCATTGAGGGGAAATGTAATAAATACAAGAATACAGAATTTAGGAAGCTGTTTGTTGCTGTTTAGGCATGATGGAATCTGTTGTTCACAGCAGCATGCGAGTCGACAGGGGCCTGCCACTGGTGTGGCACAGATAAACTTATGGCAGCTGTTAATTTGAAGAAATAATATTCCTTGGCACTAGCAAATGTACATAAAGGAATTTGTTTAGTTAAAGTGGTGGTGTAAAAATGGTAGTTACGTACATTCAGTTTGCCACAATGTCATGGTAACACAAGCACACATTCAGCCTAGAGTTAAGGTTTCAGACGAGAAAAACAAACAAACAAAAAAACAAAACAAGAAACCAACTCCTCAAAACAGAATGGTCATTAAAATTGTAAGAAATGTAAAAAATAAGGCACATTGTTTTTAATATGGTTATTTAGGAAGCAGATAAACAATAATCCATAACCAGATTTTTGAACATCTAAATCACCTCCAAGTTGCAAAGCAATGGTAAAAATTGCACCAATCCCAAATTTTCAGGTAATACAATTTATCACTAAACATAAAAAAGTGAAAATGTCAGATTGCACATAATACAATGAACCCCAAAACTTCATAGGCCATCATAATTAAACTTAATTTTCTTAAAAGGTTGCTATGATACACTTATTTTTGGTTAAACCTGTTTCCAATAAAGTCTTCCTCTACAGGTTATAACTACTGACTACAGGCATCCCAATAAACAAAATGATATAACCAATTTTTTAAAATAAATTGCAATGGTAAAAATGCATTATGATTATTTAGTCATCACTTTAAAGAAAATCAGGAAAAAGAATGTCATAAAAAAATGTAATCTTCACTTTAAATGTGTTTTTATTGTGCAACGTTACCTCTCAGGAATAACAGTTTACCCTTAATTATTACCTCTCAGAGCACAAGTGTCTGCCCAGTGTGAGAAGGTAAGCCCTCAAGGAGTTGAGTCTTCAACCTCAGCTCAATTCTGAAACAGATTCTCTTCAGACAGCTTAAGGGTGGTAAAACTACCAAAGCCATGCTATACAGGCCATTTTAAGTTGTTCCCTACAACATTACATTACTGTTTGATCACCAAATAGATGGAACAATTGGCTTGTTATTGTGTGACCTACACAAGTAGCATATAGTAATGATGCTAACTGCAAATAATTAAAACATTGTGCAATCATACAAGAATTTTCACTGCTATACGCTACTTTGCAGCTTATACCACTGTATGTCGTTTGTTCCGCCTGTTTAGTAATCATTCACTATGGATTTTGATTTATTTTTTATGATTTTAAAGTGAAACTGAATAAAAATCACTGATGCAAGTTTTCTTGTATATAACACTGGCAGCACCTTTGTTATCATTTTTGAAGTATTTGCTATCTGCATGAGCAGAGACAAGAGATAGGACAGCCTCTATAGGAACACCCTCCTTTTAAGTGGAAAGTGGAAAATAAAGGACAAATAGCTATCACGGAGAGGCAAGGCTGTCATGTTTAACATTTGGCACAGAACAATATTATCATGAATAACCATTTGTGACCTGTACTCTTTGAAATACATCCTGCTAAAGTAATACTTTTGCATCAAATTGTCATCTCAATTGTGCAAAATTACATTTACAGAATTATTAATTCAAACTGATCAAGTACGTTTGATCTACTATGATTAACAGCTCTGGTAGCAATGTTAGATGGGCAAATTTACATGTTGTCGTTTTAATACAACACCGTATGTCCACCCTTTGTATCACTGCATCAACAGTCTATGAAACGAATGTGGTTGAAAGCTTGATTGCCAAAAAAGAAACACAACGAGGGACATTTATGAAGCAAATTAGAAACATAATTAAATGCAAGTCAGGTTGCTTGTCTGCAGAGTCTGTGGGATAATTATGTGTTACCCATGTGCCTAAAACTCTGGAAAGAAAGTGTCAAAGGTATTCTGAAGATTTCCCACTGGCGTCGAGACAGATTTACACTTAAGAGACCCACAATTAAGAAGTGGTCAGGGGCAGGTTTTATTCGGTCATCATGCTACTTTTGCAGCAGGATGAGGAATTTATGAATGAAGCTGACTATAAAAATCTGTCTCACTGCTGTGGTTTAGCATTGCTTTGCTGTGTAACAGAATTGATAAATGTCACCCAAATTATGTAGAATTACCCATCTAACACTGTCTTTAAGCACTTCCAATACAAATATGTTGGATCATCAGTTCTACTACATTTGCCAACAACTGTTTAATTGTGGGGCCAATCTTACTGGCACTAATATATAGACTACTTAACTGTGAAAGTTAACTTATGGTTAACTTTTTATTGCTATACCCATTTTATTAGCACACAGTGCCAACAGAGGTAAACAGCAATAATAAACAGCCATCCACAAAGGAAGTTGTGACAAAATAATACTGAGCGTGAACGCTGGAAGTGTAGAAGGATGGAGAGCTGACCAAATACAGTTAAAACTGTGAGGACAATATGGTTTTGGAGGCCACCATATTCAACAGCTGTTGGCAACATACTACTAACTGGTAACTGACAAACCTTGTCTTTAACCTGCTTCAGTCAGCCTTCAGTGTCTCAGCACATGTTCTTTGCATCATATTACATATTAATTCTGTGATTCTCACATTGTAAATTGTTTGTTTCAAGTGTTTTCTTCACTTGACAGAATACAATTTATAAAGTGTAATTTTACCATCTTAATACTTGACTTTAGAATTTACAGAGAAAAAGAAAACCCCATCATTTAAAGAATCTAGAAGTTTAGGTTTTCTAAAAGAAAAGGAAAATCCAAAATTTGTACTTCATATACTGGGTGAAGGTGGCTAAAAATGGCTTTTCTTGGAGGTGTTGTCAACAGAAAATGTTGAAATCAAATCCTCACAGTGTCCAGAAGCTGGTATAGCAATGTGCTTCTTTATTGCATGTAAAACACAAGAGATAAGGTTGTTGCTTACAGCAAAGTTCATCTCAGTTTTACTCGAAATGTGCTAATGTCCATGGGGCTCATGGTGACCGTACTTAAGTTTAGAGCATCTAGAGATGTATGCATTAAAGATAAGGTTGATGATTTGAGACTTTCAACTTTGAATCCACTGAAAAGTTCATAAACTGAAATCTGAAAACATAAAAGAAACGCACAATCAGTTTTTGCCAATATTTTTGATCGTCACTAAGTTAGGGTCACAGCCCTCAACTGTTTTGTTATAGTGGCATAATTCTATATACAGACGTGTTTGCTGATCAGGATTGTCCGGTTCTCTAAAACTATATACAGTTAGGAGGATCACAACCCTCAAAAAATGTGGTGGACAGCATTGCTTTTTGTTACAGTTCTGCTATCCTACTTATTGTTCTTATTCCCCTAAAAAAAAATGTAAAAGTGATCAAAGTCAAAATAAATAATTTTCCCATTTAAAACATTTGATATAAAGGGATCAGACGTCTGAAAATAAACCTGACATCTAAAACAAAGCAGCAGTGAGAAAACAGGTGATCACTGCCTGAAACCACTCTTCCCACTGCAGCTCTCCATCAGAAGTCATAGGATAGCATTTCCTGCGTGAATTTATAAAATGTATTTTAAGAATGTTGTGGCTCAGCTACAAGTAGCAATATTCCAATGGTTTGACTAGCTAGCTTGGAGTTAACAAGAGCTGAGTTATCAAATGTTTGCTTAATTCACAATAAGGTAACGAGTACTATTTCCTGAAGTGAAATACCTTTCCCTGAGATGTAGAGCAGAAGAGCCCAAGGTCTTTATTTGTAAACTTGCAGTCAAATCCTTTCCTATGCAGAATTAGCGCCGCCTCCTCTGATGGTCCCACCTAAATGCAAGCATAAAGATGTTAGCAATTTTAGAAATAGTCTTTTGACAAATCGGTGACATTCATTTTTATTTAAACCCTCAATTCCAAAAAGTTAGGACACTGTAAAATCTTAAGAAAACCAGAATGCAATGATTTGCAAATCTCATACACCCATATTTTATTCACAATAGAAAACAAACCTCTTAAAACTGAGAACATTTACCATAAAGAAAAAATAAAGTAATTTTGAAATTGATGAAAGCAAAAGTTCTCAAAAAAACTTGGGACAGGGCCATGTTTACCAAGGTGTAGCATCCCCTCTTCTTTTAACAACACTCTGTAAATGTCTGGGAACTGAGATGACCAGTTGCTGGAGTTTAGGGAGAGGAATGTTGGCCCATTCTTGCCTGATATAGGATTCTAGCTGCTCAACAGTCCTAGGTATTCTTTGCCGTATTTTAGGTTTCAATATGTGCCAAATATCTTCAATTGGCCTGGACTGCAGGCAGGCTGGTCGAGCACCCGGACTTTTCTACTATGAAGCCATGCCCTTTTCATAGATAAAGTATGCAGTTTAGTATTGTCCTACTGAAATATAAAAGGCCTTCGCTGAAAAAGATGTGGTCTGGATGGGAGCATAAGCTGCTCTAAAACCTGGATATACTGTATATTTCAGCATTGATGGTTCCTTTCCAGACGTGCAAGCTGCCCATTCCATACACACCATGTTTGCCAAAAAGAATGTCAAATTTCGATTCGTCTGACCATAGAACAGTTTTCGGCCCACAGAAGGACGGTGGCGTTTCTTGATCATGTTCAGATATTGCTTCTTTGCATGATAGAGCTTTCACTTTTTGAATGGCACGACAAACTGTGTTGCAGTCTAAGGACCCGAAGATCATGGGCATCTAATATTGTGTTTCGGGCTTGTGTTTCTGGATTTCTCCAGATTCTCTAAATCTTTTGATATTATGTACTAGAAATGATGATATATTTAAAGTCTGCAATTTTACGTTGAGGAACATTCTGAAATTAGTCAACAATTTTTACACACAGTTTTCATATAGATTAGTGAACCTCTGCCTATTTCTACTTCTGAGACACACGGACTCTCCAATATGCTCTTTTTATACCAAAATCCTGTTACTGACCTATTTCTAGTTAACCTAATTAGTTGCAAAATATTCTTACAGCTCTTCCCTGTTAGTACCACTTACTTTGCCAGGTTTTTGTTGCTCTTTCCCAAATTGAGAAGTGTTGCCTCCATCATCTTCAAATTACCTTATATTTTATGTTTTTTTTTTTTAAATGGTACAATTTTCTCAGTTTAAAAATGTCATACGTTTGTTTTCTATTGTGAATAAAATATGGGTTTATGAGATTTGCAGATCACTGCATTCTGTTTTTCGTAGATTTTACAAAGCGTCCCAACTTTTTGGGAAAAATCCTAACAAATTACATTTTGGAAAAGTATAACTAATTCATCTGCATAATTTATACAAATCTAAACAATTCTATGCCTTAGTGCTAAATTTAAAACTGTCCACCTGTATTTAACTACACAGAGCCGTATATATGGTGGTCATGGATTCAGAATACAGCAGGGTAGCACGTTATTCATATGTGGATATGAACTGTCTGAAATTGTGTCAGCCTAAGAAAATGATGCTGCCAGTATAATTTCTGGACGTTTACAAATAGGAGCAAGATCTTGATTAGTAACTCACCTAACAGCAACAAGAAAAAACACAACACCAAACCAGGAAAGGATTCGCTTGCAAAGGATTAGCTTGCAAAAACCGGTCAGGATTAGAAGAAAGCCAAATAAAAGTATAAAAAAAAAAAAACGATATACAGATTGTAAGGTAGGGAAGACTGCTGTCCTGCAAGATTAATAACAACTGATTAACCTTGCAAGACTAAAGCTGGATACACACTTTTTTTAATGTAAAAAAATACGACGGATTCCTCCATTCCTCCATCCACGCTACACAGTGTGGATGAACAAATCTCCCGCTGTGTACATTTTGATGGTGGTGACGGGCACTGTCAGAATACCAAACCGATGCTTGGGCTCCCTGTACACTGTTACCTTATGAGATTTATATCAAATCTCCATGAACATATGTATATCATTTTTGTAATTAAACATATTCTATGTTGGGTGACTGATTGAAGTAAGGAAGATTGTTTTTACTCCTTGAGGAATTGATTACATGGGGATTTTAAATATAATTAGGACTCTGTCCAGGCATAGCCTGTTAATGGTAAATGGTCAAGACAAAAGACCATAAGATCCATGAACACTTCGGAGCCGAGACCCTTGATTCTCACAATAGGTACATACTTTAATTTTGTCTCTGGCTAAGACCTTCAAAAGATCCTTGTATGTAGCAAACAACTAGATTGTCTGCCCTGGTTTACATAAAATCATGACCATGGGTTAGCCTGGGGTCACCTGACCACCTGGAATTTTCCCAGCATAAAAGTTGAATACCATAGAGTGCAATTAAAGATTTGAATAGAAAGGGGTTGGAAGTTCTAACAAAGAGTATTTGGAAGTATCCAATCCTTAGAGGAGGATTCTAATTTGATTAGATTAAGTATTGGAAGGCCACCAATTGATGGCCCTCAATGCTTCCCTATGAACACCAGAGATATATCATGGTAGGCTTTGGAAAAAAGCAAGTCTTTTTAGACCACCAGAATGGGGCCCTCATGTGACAATTAACTGGTATATATACCTGTACTCCCTCCCCACTTAAATGTATGTCTATCGTTTGTCTCTTTTATATCAAGGTATGTATTTTGCATGCTTAAATCTTTTGTGTTTTGTAGTTAAATAGATTGTTGGTTTGCTGTATTTAAGTCTTAATATCATATACCAATACATTTCTGTTATTGTGTTGAGCTAAAAAATCTCATGATTGAATCCTCAATCATATACTTGTAGGTGTGAACGCTTATTTAGCGGATCGTAACTTACAGTAATTGGGGTAAAAGTACTTTACTCTGCAAGGGCAGCACTAGAGAATATAACACACCCTCTAAGGAAAGACAAACACGTGTAAACCTTTTCATCCAAATAATTCGTTTTTAAAAAGGAAGAACTTCTTAAATCTATAAGACTGTGAAAAATCCTTTAGCTAAAAAAAAAAAAAAAAAAAAAGCCCAGACTGAGGTGTAGGATAATCCTGTTATAACAAGGAAAGTAGTTCAGTAGATAAAGCCTGCGGGTAGTAAATCCTGCAGGTAATAATCAGGAAGGTAAAGAACCTTCAGAACAAGCATTTCATATTCTTCAGTTTACCCATCCTTAGATATGGTGGCTGCATGTGTTTTCCGGCTTTTTTGTCAACAGTAACACACTTGCTGTCCTAGGTTGACAACCCTCATGCGCCATAATGTACGCTATAGAGAAGCAGTGTTGTCACACCAAGATGGGACAATTAACCACCTCTCCAAAACAGAGAAGATGGGTTCTGTAGTCCTCAGAGATAGCTGGCAACAGTGTAACTGATAACAATACAGCACAGGTAGAGTGTGCAGGAAATGATCAACTAAAGATTTGATGGCATCAACAGTTATTTTTTGCATTATCATTTGAGTACCAACTTGTATTACACCTTCAGGCCATTTTTTTTTAGTTTTGCTTTCTAGCACTGTGATACTTTGATCATTTCTCAGTCTTGCAACACTATACACAAATATATTTTATACTTTCTTTTTTAGACAGAGCTTTCTTTTGATGGTATTTAATAACCACATAAAGGAAAAAAGACAAAAAAACATTTTGAAAAAAAAAATCTAATTTTCTGTTAAAATAAAAATGCAAGGGCAGTGCAAAAACCGCACACTGACACAATTTTGGAAAGAAGACTCCCCAAGGTGATTTTATTTTATATTAATTGGAAATTAAGAAATATGCTTGAATTTAGCGGGGGTTAAAACATGGAACTTGGTATGGGTGCACTAGATACATTATTGTACAGATTATACACAAAGATCAAAAGGTGAAGGGGTTTAATGAACGTGACATACAGTAAGATGATGATGAGAAGGTTAATGGACAGACGTGCAACATAAGAGAGGTAAAAGGTTAATATGCAGATCACAGACAGGTTAAAACATCAGATGTGTAGGAGAGGCGGTGAAAGGGTTAAAAAAAGAAAGGACCACACAGTCATTGAAAGTAAATAAATGGATCCACAGCTGCTCCTGACCCACTCATTTCCCATTCATAAATTACTATGATTTCTCTCCTTCCTCTGTTGTAAGATGAAGGCGAGGGATCAAACATGTAAACACTAGCATGTGATCGATGTGATTGGTCATCAGAGCGATCACATGGTACTGAGCCACATGGATTAGTTCAGTAGACAGCGATTGACGGGCAGAATGGCTGTCCTCGGGTCTTTTCTTCAGTGAGGTTTTAAAATGGTGGTAGGGAAACAGTATCCAAATTTGCTGCTTAAAAACGTATGGTGGTAGAAAAGTGGTTAAACAGGTATAAAATGCATTCAGTAGCATAACATCAAAATAGATCAAATAAGAAAATGTCATTGTTGGGATTGGGGTAGGGTATTGGGATCAAATACCCTTTACAGAATGTTTGAGGAAATCTGCCAAGAGGTTTATGTTAAAATACAGGTAGGGCACGTTTGACTAGGCACAAAAGAGGATACCTGAAGCTATGAGGAGAGGACACAGGATCTTGCGGCAGCTGATGCTTGATACTGAACACTGTTTGTGCGATTGTATTTGTATGTGCTAGCTTGGAACTGTTCTTAGAACAATGTTATGGTGGTTCCTTTGGGTTAACTCTTGAAAAAGCAGCATTCCAAGGTCTCTCCAACAGACCTCACCCAAGAAAACCTCCAGATGTGCCATATTACTGCAGAAACATTGTGAAAAATTCCCAACTGGGAGAGCAGATTGAAGTCTGACCAGAGACTGGTCCAACTACCACAGAAGGGATGCATCCACTTTACAATGGTACAACGATCTGACATAGCATAGAAGACTAGTTTCTATCAGGGAAATGATGACGGTAGGAAACTGCAGCTACTTGAAGTGAATCACAAACATGTGAAAAAGACACCTTTGGCCCTTTTTGTAGCCTTGCCAACCTGACCTATTATCCTAATGTTATGCTAACAATTTACACAAACCAATTTTTTTCTCCTGTGTCGCAAAGGGGAAAAAAAAGCACTCCCAACGTAAAATGCATACATTCGATTTGAGCTTTATCATTTTGCAGTGTTACATCAAAATTATACTAATTTTAATCAGCGGACTTTGATTATATTTTGGTGTACAAATTATGTAAACACTATGTTAAAAAAAAAAAATATCATAATTTTTTTCCTATATATGCCCAAAACAACCCAAAGAAATAAAAATGTATGTATCCAAATTTGCTATGAAATCAATTCCCCTATCTGTTTCAATACAAATGATGTATAATATGTCAGGGTAGACTACAAAACCTAAAAGATGCAGCCTGTGCAACCCAGACATTGCCGAAACGCAAAACATTATTTTTTTAGGTTTTAAGGGGATTTAGAGAGAAAAGAGCCGGATGTCTCAAGAGGTTAAAAAATGAATAGTATGAGAGAAGGGAGTACCTCAATTTTCTTCAAGAGGACACCAACAGGAGTACATCAGGTATAGCAAACTAGAACTCCCACCAAAGACATTGCTACATTCTAAAGTGTGTGTTTGTATGTGTGTTTGTATATATGTGTGTGTGTATATATATATATATATATATATATATATATATGTGTGTGAGTGTGTGTGTGTGTGTGTGTATGTATGTGTGTGTGTATGTATATGTGTGTGTGTATATGTGTACACATATATTTACATTCTTTTTTTGTATTCCAACACACTAACAATGCAACACCACAATGTCATCCCAATCATGTGGGACTTGCCACATACCTTAGCTTGAATAGTTCGTAAATTAACTAAGTGAACATCACACGGCATTGAAGACATGAGAGGAGAGAAGGCATCTAGTAGTGGAGGAGCACCAGTGTCCTCTGTTGCAGCCATTGATATTATTGGTTGGTTTAAGATGGTTGATGTTATATGACTTAAAAGGGATGGGTAACTGACAGCTCTTTTGTCTTCACTCTTTATGGAGAGAAAAGAAAAAGTTACATCTGCAACACAATTACATAGAAGCACAAAATCTGTCATGTGTGCTTTTGCAAACCGTTTCCTGAGAAGGTGATATTAACTTTCTGAGATGCAACAACTTAATTTATACAAGAGCATCTTATTTTTGCAAAAAAAACAAAACAAGACTACAAAAGGGAGCTAAATCTTCCAATGAAAGGTTAGACCCTTGCAGTGCAGGAGGAGCTGGTAGTACAAGACAAAAATTGATTATGCTGCCTTAACATAAAAGCTAACATAAAGCCAACAAAACAAGGCTGCACTTAATGATCTGAGAACTTCGAGTCTGCATTGTTGCTCTATCTTGGATAGACATTAGTAAAATTGTAAGCATTTAACGTTCCACCAATGTGCAGACCTCCTCCATCAACACTTGTTAAAAATGTCACCAGCACACCAAATTGAAGTGAAGAGCACGTCTGTTTATGGACGCTTCACGTCAAAACAAAGAACAACGTTTCAGGGACACACAGGGTCCCCTTTAAAAGGCTTGGAATGACAATACAGCTAAAGAAAAACCTGTCTTGTATAGCTAAACCAACAGTGCAAATGAACACATACTAAAATCACAAATCTAGATCTTACACCAATATGTCAAGTGAAGATCACAACACACGGTCGTCAATCAAGAATGATGACTCAATTATAATTAAACCAGCAGATAAGGGGGTGCGTTTGTTGTTATGGATTACAGTGAATACAGAAAAGGAATGTTGATCTGACAAATCCAGCTACGAACTTGTCTACGCATGATAAAATGCATAGCATTTGGACACGATTAGTGGCTTTCATTGATATGGGGAAACCGAATTACTGGATCACTGCGACCACTGCCGATTTCTTATTTATTGTACATGCTCGGATCCCAGTGGAATATGGTTTACTCAAAATACACAACGGCACTAATCCACTCAGTTTTTGCCCAAAAGTCTCATTCTCTGAATCCATCACCCAGCACTTTGCTCAATTCGTAGACTTCTTCCTACAACCTCTGGTGCGTGATTAGTATATCAAGGATACTAACAATCTTTTACAGAAATTAAACTAATTCAGAACTTTTGAAAATAGTTGGCATTTGGCCATGATGGATATATATTTTGTCATTATATACATGCATTCCCAATGCGGCAGGGATTACTGCTGCTGAATATTTTTTTACATTTAATAGGAAACGTGAAGTTCCAACTGCTTTCATACTTTGTTGTCTGGAATTCATCTTGGAAAATAACAGGTTTTTGTTTGAGAAACCAGTGTATAAACAGATTAGAGGTACAGCCATGTGTAGTTCAGCTGCACCTAATTTGTTGGCTTCATGGGAAAGTGCCATGTAAACCCATCTGCCCTATACATTAATCATGTGAAGGTGTGGATGAGGTACACAGATGACATTTTTGGATGGCAATACCCAGGTTTTTGACGAGTTTATAACATTCCTCAACAACATACAGCCTGGCATAAAAAATGTAATCCTGAGATATCGAATCGGGAGATTTCTTCCTTGAATGTCCGGTTTACCATTCATGATCATCAGATCTCCACATCCATTTACAGGAAACCCACTGACAGAAACATGATTTTACACTATAACATTGTACACCACAGCATCTTCGTGACAATCCTCCGGTCTCCCAGTTCCTCAGGGTAATGCACATCTGCTCCGATGTTCATACTTGAGAGTTGCATATAAAAGAGATGCATGATACATTTCTTGACAGAGGTTACCCCCTGGCCAAGCACTCTCTCTGGCCATAGCGAAGTTCAATAAGAATCCTGGGACACAATTCATTGCACGAGACAAGCCTGAGAGAATTGCAGACATTTACCATTGCCTCTAGAGATGTACACAGAGCAACTGTTGACAACCTGACTATTCTTCAGGCGAACAGGAGCCTATCCAATATTGCAAAAAATTGGCCTTTAAATGTGTATAAATGCAGTATGACAAATATCTTTTGGTACAGGCAGACCCAAGATCCAAATATTGCAAGAAACCATTTGTGTTATATAATCATATAAGACAGGATGTTACAGGTGTTTCCATTGTAATATTTGTAATGCAATAATTTGCAGGGAACATTTTACAGACCCATATAATGGTAAAAAGGACAAGATATGTATTTATTAAAATGTCCCTGTGCATTGGTCTATGTGGGCACACCGATAGGTACCTTCAAACGCTGCTTCCAAAAACATCATAGCGATATTCGCATAGCAATTGGCAAGATGTTGAAAGGGGGAAGACGTGGATGTAAATAAACCAGTTGCATTACATTTTGCAACCGACACCAGACGCATGGTAATAGAACAAACACAGACGCATTCCCAGAGGGGGAGACAGGGCAAAAAAGTTCTGCACTCTGAACACCCTGCATTCCAGGGGCTTCAACACAAATCTAGGGCTATCCTGTTTTTCAGATGAGAGGTAAGCTCTATGTTACATATCCATTTTTAAGGGCATGTTTATGTATGGAGTTATTGATTGCCTACCACTGGAATGTTACTAACACAGCAGCCGGCATCAATGGTTATCTAGTCACACTGCATCTTCACATGCTTGTGCTATCAGACACTACATATGTCAAAAACATTCCAGTTATACATGCGCCAGCAGACACGTCTAAAGTGCCTCGTTTGCGCAGACAGACTGATCATTTTATGTGGTCTATAGTATTACACACAATTAAATGTCGCAGTCCCTGTGATAGCTCCCTACAACCAATCAGGTCTTGCCAAGAACATGATGAAACATGTAACGTGCTCACCACACACCTGCAGATTACTTTACATGCAGCCATCACACCCGGCTGCTGTACATGCTTCCAACCGCTGTTAATTTGTTTTGGCATTCATTTATCTGATCAGTGTGGCTTTATTTCATTTAATTTTTATTCTCTTCTGGAACATCTTCACCATCTCATGTTTGATGTATTTATGATATGCTTTATGAAGGTTATGGCAAAGATATACACACTGTCCTGATGTTGAATTACAACGTTTTTGAATAGTTTTTGGTGGGAGAATGATGTCAGGGGGTTGGTTGGAGTGGTTTTCTGTTCCTTTACACCATTATATAAGATAGATTTTTCTTTAGCTGTATTGTCATTTCAAGCCTTATAAGGGGATCCAGTGTGGCATGTTGTTGATGGATTCATTTTACATACTTTTTCTCATTTTATGTTCACTTTAAGCATTGCTTTCACTCTAATATATGATAACAGTGCTGCACCACAAATCACTTTTCCCCCCCATATAGTGTTCCTTAATGATCACTAAATCTCTTAAATTATATTTGAATCCTATTAAATAGCATACTCATATTGCACTGTGCAATTCCTATTTCTTTGCAATGCTGCGCCAGTGAATAGTCTTTATGTGGACATCCAGATTTGTTGCTTTGTGCACAAAGATAAAGATGTCCAATCTTTATAGATCAGCTTTGGAAAGCAGTATTGTTTGGCTACAAATTCAATGTCTATGCTGTGCCAATAATATCAAAAACCAAAGTTGAAAAGTGCACCTGGCATTGTGGGGAAAAAAAGTTAACTCGAGAAAAAAAGTAAGCTGTGAAATAGATTTGGTGTTCATGATCAGATTAATAGTTTGTAACCTGGGAAAACGTGAAACTATGATATGAAAAGTTAATTAAGTAAAGCACACATTTGGTAAATGCTGCTCAATTAAATAATTGAAGGAAACTGGGCAAGTGCTTGCAACCAGATGGGAAGCTAACTGGGTAAGAGTGTTTGCTTTCTATTACCCTTTGCTACCGAATACATGCATGGCAAGTATGCTTACATACCTCTTGTATTCCAGACCTTTGCTCTAAAAGAATCCTGAATAAATTAAATGTGATTTTGTTATCTTGAAGACCTTGCCCAAGACCACGATTATCATCCTGCATTAGTCGACGGTCCATGAACACTTCCAGCTGACCTTGTGAGTAAAATGAAGAGATGGTTTACCCAATCAAATGTCTGGAAACATTACATTTAAATTACAGTTTAACATTATGCTCCCTTTATTCTCTCCATAAAACAGATAGGAGACGTCAGGCTTAATGTACATTATGAAGCTTGCAATAAAATAAAAGAAGCGAAACAGCAAGCAGCTCAGAAGAAAGAGCTATTCATCCCATCTCTGCAGACATGTCTGTTGGGCTAGGCTGGTTTTTAGCGAGCCAATAACTTTCAGATATCAGTAGCACACAGAAAATGTCACCAATTTTGGAAAACATCTAGAAGATATTTTAACGTAAAGAGTATTATATACCCCTTATTTATTCCAACCCCTTGAAAATGATAACACCCTCTTTTCTGGAAAACTGTATACCAGTACATAAAACTAAAGCACAGAAATTATGCAGTGGGAGGCCCACCCAATAAAGTTGATCTATACACTGAAGGGTAACAAATATGCAGCCTCTGGCAACCAAATTTGTGTGCATCCCTCAGACGTGAGTGGACAGATATTATTCCCATCAAATTCTGTTCTCACACACGGGCATCTTCTTGTACTAACAGCCAAGCAACAAAAGGTAAAAATAAATTTAGGAAAGTAGAAAATGGAGGACAAAAGCTTTGGTTCTTAAAGCAAAAAGGTGAAATGCAACTTTAAATGAAACAATGATCATTGATTAAACTAGTTAACCAAGCTGTTAATTCTTGGACAATTTTATAAAAGCGAGGAGACAGGCAGTAGTTTTTTACATGCTACAATGCTGTCTGGTGGCTCTGTAACCACTGAACGTGAAAGTTGCTATTTGTAGACAGCCTTTATTGCTTTTTCATGCTGTAAATATTTGAGGTAAGGGACACATCAAGCAAATGACTGCAGTCAAATCCATCACAAATTGATTAAAGACTACTGAACAGCAGAAACTGAGAAAACAAAATCTTGTCAAGAGGTGATCATTAACCTATTTAACCCACACATAAATATTTCTCCCTTGTGCCACTAAAAAAATGGCTATGTGCACAAAAGGATTAGTGTTCATAAAGGAAAAGAAAAATGGTAATTAAGTGCATAAACTTGAGATTGAGAAAGTGTGGAATTTAGGAGAAAAAAACAAAACAGGTATTTCTTTCCTTAACATAATACTTCATACATATAACATGCATATCTTCCATCAGTCCCTGACCTTAAAAAATTACAACTAGCTCTCCCCAATACATTTATACCAACATACACTGTCAAGAACCAAGGAAAACAGCATTTAAAAAATAAAAAAAAGGAAGGAACCATGGTCATCTTAAAGTTACAAAGTATATAACATTAAATGGAAATAAAGTTTGTAACGATTCCAAATGAACGACCGGTTGCAAAAGAGAGCAGGAAAAACCCCCAAAAATTCTTCAGGTATATTAATAGTAAAAAGATAATGTCTGAGTAATGTAGGTCCCTTACAAGAGAACTCAGATAGTGACTGAGAACAAAGAAGGCAAATACACTGAAAACATGCTTTTATAAAAAATAAACAATGATATGGTCCTGAAACAGACAGACAAAATTAAAGTGCACAAAGCACCTGGACCAGATGACTTACGCATACATTTCATCAGAGAATTAAGCTAGATTTCCATATTTTTTACTGTATCTACATTTTTAATGACTGGCTTTAGGGCTGCAACAACTAATCGACATAATCGATTATAATCGATTATTACTTGGTACCAATGGGTTGGTGCAAGGCCAATGTGATACCTATATTTAAAAAAGGGCTCAAAGTCTACCAAGTAGGTACAGACATGTAAGCTTAACTTCCATAGTTGGGAAGATACTTAAGAGTTTGATATGTTTTGCTACAAAACATTATAAGCGATAGTCTGCATGGATTCACAAAAGACTGAAGATGTCAAACAAATCCACTTTCTTTTTAAGCGGAAGCAATACATAAGACAAAGGAATGGCTGTCGATATAGTATACTTGGACTTTGCAAAAGCATTTGACATAGTTCACCACAGACTGCTATTGGATAGAAAACTGTCTTGAAGACCGTATTTACAGAGTAGTAATTACTGGTTCATATTCTGAATTGTCTAAAGGATATTAGTGGTGTACCCTAAGGTTCTGTTTTGGGACCCTTACAGTCAACCTGATTATAAATTATATAGAGTTTGGCATTAAAAGTACCATTTCTGTGTTTGCAGATGAGACCAAGTTACGTAGCGGAATACAGTCCTTACAAGAGGTCTCCAACTTACAAGCAGATCTGAATGCACTGTGTAATCAAGCATCTGTGTACTAAATGAAGATTCATTTTGATAAATGTAAAGTTATGCATTTGGGTAATCAAAACATGCATACACTCTAGGGAGAATACAATTGGGGAGTCAATGATCTAGAAGGAGCTGGGTGTTCAGGTAGATCATAGACTTAATAGCATACAATGCCAAGCTGCAGTTTCTAAAACAAGCAAAGTACTTTCTTGTATCAAAAGGGGTACAGACTTCAGAGCCATAATCTCCCGCTATACAAAGCATTAGCAAGACCTAAATGGGGAATATGCAGTTTCGTTTTGGGCACCAGTTCACAAAATGGATGTTGTGAAAATCATGCCGTCCTCTGGATCAGCTATAAGTAATTTTGTTTATGGAAGTTTTTCTATAAGTGGAACTTTATGGACTTGCACCTTTTTTCAACTTCTGAAACTATTAGCCAACTTCAGCCTGAGGCCATTTAACCTACTAGTACGAGTTAGACTTACCAATCTGAGTACCATACTTTCCTCCCACAATCCATAAATACAGTTTTAGGTCTGCTGGCCTTCATTGAAATTGGTTATAGCGTGCGTGCGTGTATATATATATATATGGGACGAACATTAGGCTTTAAACTCTTTAAACTCCCAACACCAAAACTGGGTCTTTTAGATTCTGCAGACATGATACATAATTTAAAGTATAACTGTGGTCTTTTAATACAATCCTTTCACCCATCTGAGTGTATCCCACTAGGACAAATACTTACCTTCCTTCAGCCTTGCCTCAGTGATCTTTACTATGTGGTTCTGCTTGATGCAGCATAGCCTATCTCCAGAAATGGCATGAAGTTATGAAGCTATGAAGCAGCACTTTTTGGGGAGAAAGGCTGCCCTGCTCCTGGCGGGGCAAGTGAAAAACACTGGATCTCAGCTGAATGCATCTGCCCTGTTAGGAGGCACTCGGGTGTGTGTATTAACCTTCTGTCAATACAAGAAGTACCATTAAAACAATTTTAAATGAACATTACTTTCGATTAAAAAAAGACCATTACCTTAGCCAACGTCACCTCTAGGAAAAAAACATTGTCAAAGCATAAAGGTCAGGCAGTAAGGAATAGGTCAAGTAACATTAACTACTCACCACTTTTCAAACTGGCAATGCCAAGAGGCTGTGCAGCATGCAGAGTTAATCGGCTGAAAATGTCTTGAATATAAGCCATTGTGCTCATTGGATAAACATTAGCCTGAAGAGGCACTTTGCTTAAAGTTTGGCGTGGCTGGATCTGTAAAAAATTAGGACCACAATCATAAACTTAATAAAAAGACAAGAGTTTTGTACACACCATAAAATTATTTTCTCCGGCACCATTGAGTGACACAGCTCGATGACAGTTGAGAGTTAGACTAGGCTAGAGTTATACTATCACTTTCAGGAGAAATTTATATTAGGCACATAGAAAACTGAAGGGCTTCCCCCCTGAGGCTATAACATATCCAAACTCAACTGCTCAATTGTAGCAAGCAGTCCATATAAAGAATAATAGCATAGAAGGGGAGGAAGCTGCGTTCCTCAATAGACTCAATAGACTATTTTATGGCGAGTATAAAAATCCTATTTTCTCCAGCATACATTAAGGAACACAGCTGATGATAACCTAGGTAAAGAGTCCAGACTTAGGTATAGGAACAATCAAAAACAGGTGAAATAGCCCACAATAATGACCAAACAAAAGGAGACCAAGGGCAATAAATAGTAGATGCAGAACGAAACTAGTATATGCAGAGGCAGGCACAGCAACGTAGAATCTGTGACACCGAGGCATGGCGACAAAAGCCCAAGAAAAGGAGGTACTATCTTGTAACTTATAGGCTTGCACAGAAACCTATCAAGCCCACTTAGAGATAGTGGATCTGTAAGCCAAAGAATCTCTTGTGGGACTTTCTGCAATGACAAAATAGAAATCCCTCTGCAGGGATTAGGTATGCCCCCCCCCTTTTTTTTCTATGTGTAACTGAACCTTTACACTTTACTCAAACATTGTTGATTGATAGATTGAAATATGTTGGCCCTTTTTTCACATTTTGAGAGATGTATTGCTACTTTTATGTTGATTTAGGAATAATGCTTTTATATATTTTTACATATACTTATTTTGAATGTATATACACGATACAAGGTAATGAATCTGTGTTTTATTATTGCGCTACGTTTTTGATGTACAAAGCAAGCTTTGATCTTATTGCAATCATGTTTTTTTATATGTATTCTCAAGGTTTCTTTGTATTTTACCTTAAACCTGATGAAAGAGAAGTATTTGAATCCCCAGAAAGTGTTGGCTATTTCACTCAATTGTACCCTGACCTCAGAGGAATATAGTTGTATCTGGGCTATTTAAATTGGTGTGACGCTTCAATTCCTACTGTGTTCACTTTTAAGCCTAGGAATATAGAACAGTCAAAGTCTGAGTGCAGATGGGATCATGGGTTAAAGGGAATATCTCATTAAGGAGTAGACAGATCGAGAAGTTGTCTGGGTGTTTCCAATTCTTGCAAATAAAACCATTGAAATAGGATATGATGAACAGGATAATGACTGGGTTTATGAGAACCAAGCACAGACACAAGATGTAAAGTAAGGAACGGTGAAATTCTCTAATTTTAGTGAACACACAGCCAAATAGAAAGGAAAAAGTTGCCTTCTGTATTGCTGAAAACCACTGCTGAACAAAATTCAGCTTCTGGGTTCTCTTCCTCTAAGAAAAGAGGGACAATGAGTGCTCTGGAGGAAGCCTATCAGAATCCAAAATAAAAGGCATTCTGTGGGCCAGATTCTGGTAACGAAGGAGTCAGAGGCCATTTAACTATGTGATCAGATGTTATGCGATCAGATGTTATGCGATCAGATGGAGCAACAACAAACCGCATTACAAAGTCATAAATCCTAGCAGAACAGTAGAAAGTACCACTGCTGTGAGGCAGCATGGGAAAAGAGCACCCAAGGAAGGGGGAGGTGGGGGTGTTCAGAAATAACAGGCATAGGGTTATTACATGAATTGCCCACACCTTAAAGCCCCAGGAGTCTGAGGGTTCTGCCTGCTTCTACTTATCAGTTTGCCATACAGTGGCCATGAATAAACCCCCCCAAAAACAATAGGAGGCATGCACCACTCCCACTGTTTAAGGGTTAATTACAGACCCAACCAGCAGGTCAGCTCCAGTGCCTTTGGATTCACACAGCCTTGCACACCTGTGTACCTACTCATTGTAACATGCAGGGAGATAATGGCCCAGGTGATACTGCAAAGTCCTGAGACGTGCAAGTAGTAAAGGATGGGCTGCAGCAGAGACTGGCACCAGGAGAGTGTCTGTACATTTTGCTTTGTTTCACAGTTTCAAGTCGCATTCACACTAGGCAGCATGGTAATGCACACAAGTCATTTTTAATTGGCTGCCTATGCACCACAACAGATTAAAAAGCATAACCGACACATTTTTAAAAACACAGTGCCCCACAATACATAGTATATGGGTTGTGGTGTGCTGTGGTTCATTGGGCTCTACTGAAAAATGCATTGGGGTGACATTTACAATGAAAGGCACAGCAGCTCACGGCACATATAGCAAGTGATGCACATTTGCAGTGATGCAATACTTGCACTTCAGCGTGCATAGCTACAATGCACAAATGTGAATGGGCCCTCAGGTGTCTCCTCATGTATACTGAAAAAAAAAACAGAATGAAGAGACTACACTAATCCCAAAAGTAAATGCATCAGAGGTCACGGACGATTATAGAGAACGGCGGGAAATATCAAATGGTGTTTTGAGCAAAACCGCACCCGGGCAATGGACCAAAGAAAAAAAACACAGCATGAGATAATAAAGAGGGGTCTCCTATGTGGCCAGCTAGCAAATTAACAGAAAGTAAAATGCAAACTCAGAAGTAAAAAGGGGAAAATTAACCCTTTCATAAAATGGCCCATCAGCTACAGCCATTTCTGTAGCAAATACCACATACACAGCTTTTTACAGAGCATAAAGCCTGCTAGTCGCTCACAACAGTGAGTCTTAAGAGATGGGAGAAGAAATACCCACAGCTCTGGTCCCATTAACTGAGAAAATATTGACCTGAATTGAATTGCAGAATATTGTGCTTACTGGGACACACACAGGTTTGTCACTCTTTGCAAGTGGAAAAACCTGTGCTTGTTGGCTAACTGGAGAAAGAGAGAGAGAGACTTACAGGATTTCAATTATTCAACCTGAGTCTACCATTAGCTGTTGAAAAATCATCCACATCAAATGAACAATAAGGAATAAAATTAGTTATCCATTGTGTTAAGGACACTAAGCAGAACTGAACAGGTGCGAGGAGTAGAGCCTTAAGAGGGCTGTATTTCAGTTGTCTATGTTCCTAGTGTCCATTTCTCCTTTAGGAAGGATAAGAATACGTGGCTACTTCATAATCAAACTGTGTCCCTCAAAGGACTAGAAAAAAAAAATCAAATTTCCAAGTTTGAAACTAAATTCACACTTATAATATGCAGTAAACTGTTGCAAAAAATGTGCCTGTTCTGTTGGGATCTCCAGATTCATTAGTAGATAATAGCGGAAAACATTTAGATAGAAAGCTACAAATGTGTAGCAAAATTTAGTTATCACGAAAGATGGAGAAAATAGTCTTCTGTTATTTGTAAAGGGTTAGTGAATGCTTAAACCCAGATTAACATTTTGTATGCAATCTGTCTGAAAGGGATTTAACTTAGTCTTTAAGTGACCCGTCATAAGAGACAAAGACGAGCTGTCATTGCTGGTCTACTTCTAAAAATGTATTTTTTTCTACAACCCTCCTTCCTCAGCAGCACATACTCCCTTTCCTTCACTTTCTGCCACTCCATCTAGCCACTAAAGAACTTTTAGGTATAAAGGAGCATGTCACTTGCTCCCATCTCCCCTTCCTGCCATGGGTCAGCATTGGGGCTTGGCACAGCACCATTACATAGAGATCGGAAGAGAGTCCGTAGTCCCAGGTAAGCACCGACTAGAGTGACTCTAAGCTCACACAGGGCTTCCTGTCTGGCTTCTGGTGGCTGAGAGTATGTGCTGCTGGTGAAGACGGCATTAAAGCCAGCCTGTTGCTTCATGTTGCAAGAGCAAAAGCACAACTTTGCTAAAAACCTTTCTTTTTGCCAAAGATGTTAACTATTACACAGCAAAAATTTCAGGCATACAAGCTATTAGACAAGTCACCATTCTTACAAGCATACAGTGCCCACGATTTATTAGAATACATACTTTTCCTGCTTTAGGTCTGCTAATTCACAAAGTGCCAATTTAATTAGCAGGAAGTAAATGTAAATAAGATTTAAGTAAATTAACCTTTACTATTCTAACAGCATCAGGAAAATGAAAACAAAAAAATTGGTTAGGTAAAGTGGTTAGAGATGGCAAGTTTCCTTTTTATCAGTTTTTCCATTTAGTTCCAGTAAACACGCTACTAAAGAATGCAGGAGACTTGCGTCTCATGTGGTGGTTCAAATATATGATGAGCAGTCAATTTTAGCAGCAGCAGTATTATTGCTGGCTTGGGAAAGTGTTATGCAATTGCATAAAATCATTTGAACATGTTTTAGTAACAATGCTGCAGATTTTGATTAATGTAATACCATCAGCAATTGTATGAAACCCAAGTATACTTAAAATGGAACTTGCACTATATGCAAG